ACCTTGAGTTCTGAACCCCACTACAAATCCTTCTTTTGGGGACCCTCTGGCTGTACTCTCCTACACTATTACTGATAACATTCTGGTGCCCTTTCACCACCAACAGTCACCTCATCTAGTTTCACTTTTGTTGTCTTTGTTATTGGTGTGAAATTTTATAAATCATTGCAAGACCAATGTCAAAAAGTTTTCCCATTGTGTTTTTTAAGGAGTTTTACATTTTCAAATTTTATGTTTAAGTCTTTAATCCATTTTGAGTTGATTCTTGTGTATGGTTTGAGATAAGAATCAAATTTCCTAATTCTGCATGTGGTGTGCTTCTCTCTTGAGTGGTATCTTTGATTCAGGAGCAGGGTATTTAGTGGAGGACAGTAATGTCTGGCTTTCTTGACTTGCTGCTCTGATGAAGCCTCTGTCCTAAGAATAATCTAGGCCCAATATATCACACTACACCCGATGTGGAATCTCCATTCACTGAGTAGAGGCTGAATGGAAGAAGGAAGCCCCATACTGTCAATTACACTAACCCAGAACATAGCCTCTTCAGTAGGCAGCTGTGGAGTGGAATGAGAAATGCTGATCTTTCTCCCCCAAGATACACTTGCACTTGAGTAAGGAGAGGGAAGAGAGAGCTCTGTATTCTTGGCTTCACCTGCCTGGAGTGAAGTTCAGTTCTGAACTAAGTCGGGGGAGAAAGGGAGTGGATTGTGATTCAAATGCCACAGGATTTTAATGTTCCTACCAAGTTTAGTAAATTTTCTTCAATAAATATTTCTTATTTTCTGTATGTCCTTAGGATCACTTACAAAGCTTTGTTTATTTATTTTTGTATTGCATCAAGATATAATGCAATTATTTTTAAAGTTTTTCTTTAGGTGTCCACAGACATAGCATTTTACATTTGTCTACAACATACCAAAATAACCAAGTTTTAATCAAGTGTTTTTGTGATGATATAATAGTGGGAAATTCACCTCATTTTCTTGAATTTAAAAATATTAATTTAATTCCATTGTATAAATGTACCACAGTTTTTTGATCCATTCATGTACTGCTGGGCACTTAGGCTGTTTCCAAAACTTGGCTATTGTAAACAATGCTGCTATGAACGTTGGGGTACATAGGTTCTTTTGGGTTGGTGTTTCAGGAGTCTTTATTTTTGTCCACTTGTTTTTTTTTTCCATTTTTTAAATTTTATTGTTGTTCAAGTACAGTTTTCGGCATATACTCCCCACAACTCCTCCCAGCCATCCCCACCTCCCTCCCCTTATTCTACTCCCTCTTGGTTTTGTCCATGTGTCCTTTATATTTGTTCCTGAAAACCCTTCACACTTTCGCTGCCACTATCCCCTCCCATCTCCCCTCTGGTTACTGTCAGTTTGTTCTTAATTTCAATGTTTCTGGTTATATTTTGGTTGCTTGTTTGTTTTGTTGATTAGTTTCCTGTTAAAGGTGAGATCATATGGTATTTGTCTTTCACCATCTGGCTTATTTCACTAAGCATGATTCTCTCTAGTTCCATCCACGCTGTTGTAAGGGTAGGTGCTCTTTCTTTCTTTCTGCTGTGTAATATTCCATTGTGTAAACATATCATAGTTTTTTGATCCATTCATTTACTGATGGGCACTTAGGTTGCTTCCAGCACTTGGCTATTGTAAATTGTGCTGCTATGAACATTGGGGTGCATAGGTTCTTTTGGGTTGGTGTTTCAGGGTTCTTAGGATATAATCCTAGCAGTTGAATTGCCGGGTCAAAAGGCAGTTTCATTTTTAGTTTTTTGAGGAAACTCCATTCTGTTTTCCATAGTGGCTACACCAGTCTGCAGTCCCACCAATAGTGCACTAGGTTTCCCTTTTCTCCACATCATCTCCAACACTTGTTGTTTGTTGATTTGTTTATGATGGCCGTCTGACCGGTATGAAGTGGTTTCTCATTGTGGTTTTAATTTGCATCTCTCTGATGGCTAGTAATGCTGAGCATCTTTTCATATACCTCTGGACCCTTTATATGTCCTCATTGGAGAAGTGTCTGTTCAGGTCCTTTGCCCACTTTTTAATGGGTTTTTTTCTTCCCAGAGTGGAGTTGTGTGAGTTCTTTATATATTCTGGAGATCAAACCCTTGTCTGAGGTATCACTGGCAAATATGTTTTCCCATATGGTTGGTTCTTTTTTCATTTTAGTGCTGTTTTGAAGCTTTAAATGGTTATTATTTAAATAGTTTTTCCCAGTTTCACTAGGGCACAGAACCACAGATCTTATTTTGCCATTCTGTTAGTCTTAAAGTTTTTCTATTTGAGATCTTAGTGATTTATTTTTTCTCCCTCATAAAAGAGTTAACCCTTCTTTAGTTTTTTTTAATATTGAACATATTGCAGTTGTAATAAATCACACTTGATTAATCTCAGTTGCAGCTTCATTTTTTCATGAGGTATCCATTTCTGGACAAAACAATGAGCTATGTAATCCTAATTTCTTAATTTGTGGAAATAAAAAATATTTTCTGAAGTGATAAAACAAAGTGATTTTAGAAATAATGCCAAATTTTTTTTTCTAGGAACTTGATATCAGTTTCCTGAAGTCACCTGGTCTTGTCAAGATTGCTAAAAAAACAACATTATCTTATAATATTTATTTGGAAAAAGTAGAGTATAGGGTTCAGTGAGTTTCTTAGGACAAATCTAGTTAAGTTTTGATCATTTTATTAGCTCCCAGTGCAGTTTAATTTTAGAAAAATTTATTTATTGCTAAAAATTTATGACTGTGTTTTTAGAGTTCCTAATCCTGCTGATACTATTTCCCTTTTAAGAATCCAAGTGATTAAAACACATTTATCTAAATATTTTAAATTCTGTCCTTTAAAGATTTAAATTACACATATTAGCATATTAATTCACACTTTTCCTAGTATGTGAAATAACCTGTCCTCCTCCTTTGGGCCACACCTTTATTCTAGTGGTGAACTATTTATTATTTAAAATTCAGTCAAGGTGTACATGAGATGTTGAGCTGATGTCCAGAAATGATTTTTTTTGTTTTTTTAATATATTTTATTGATTATGCTATTACAGTTGTCCCATTTCCCCCCTTCTCTCCCCTCCACCCTGTACCCCCTCTCCCACCCACGTTCCCCCCCTTTACTTCATGTCCATGTGTCATACTTATGAGTTCTTTAGCTTCTACATTTCCCGTACTATTCTTGCCCTCCCCCTATCTATTTTCAACCTACATTCTATGCTACTTATTCTCTATACCTTTTCCCCCCTCTTTCCTCCTCCCACCCCCCCCCCTGCTGCTAGCCCTCCATGTGCCCTCCATTTCTGTGGTTCTGTTCCTGTTCTAGTTGTTTACTTAGTTTCTTTTGGTTTTGCTTTAGGTGTGGTTGTTAATAATTGTGAGTTTGCTGTCCTTTTACTATACATGTCTTTTCTTTATCTTCTTGTCTTGGATAAGTCCCTTTAGCAATTCATAAAATAAGGGTTTGGTGATGATGAACTCCTTTAATTTGACCTTATCTGAAAAGCACTTTATCTTCCCTTCCATTCTAATTGAGAGCTTTGCTGGATAGAGCAATCTGGGATGTAGGTCCATGTCTTTCATGACTTGGAATATTTCTTTCCAGCCCCTTCTTGCCTGTAAGGTCTCTTTGGAGAAATCAGCTGACAGTCTGATGGGAACTCCTTTGTAGGTTACTGTCCCCTTATCTCTTGCTGCTTCTAGGATTCTCTCCTTCGTTTTTACCTTGGCTAATGTAATTATGATGTGCCTTGGTGTGTTTCTTCTTGGGTCCAACTTCTTTGGGGCTCTCTGAGCTTCTTGGATTTCTTGGAAGACTGTTCCCTTTGCCAGATTGGGGAAGTTCTCCTTTATTATTTGTTCAAATAACTTTTCCACTGGTTGCTCCTCCCCTTCTGGTACCCCTATAATTCAGATGTTGGAACGTTTAAAGGTGTCCTGGATGCTCTTAAGCTTTTCCTCAATTTTTTGAATTCTTATTTCATCATGTTTTCCTGCTTGGTTGATTCTATCTTCCTTCTGGTCCACCGTATTGTTTTGAGACTCAGATTCCTTCCTTTAACTATTGGCTCTCCTCTGTGTATCTTCCTGCATCTCTTTTATGGTAACCTGCATCCTTTCATCTAAATTGTGCCCAAAGTCAACCAATTCCGTGAGCTTTCTGATCACCAGTGTTTTGAACTGTGCATCTGATAGATTGGCTATTTCTTAGTTGCTCAAAAGGATGAGTCCTGGGGGACTGATCTGTTCTGTTGGAAACATGTCTTATATCTTTCCCTGTCTCTCCTTTTTTTTCTTTTTTCCGGTCTGGTCGCTCTTGTTACAGTGGGGGGCAGAGCCTTAGGTGTTCACCGGGGCTGGGCACCCCAGTCACTAGATTGTGACGTTATATGTGGGGTCGGGGGCGGGGGCGAGAGCCGGGATAGGAGGGAACAATTTTGGTAGTTCCATTCTCCTGGGCTCAGACCCTTCTCTGGGCTCCTGGGCTGCGAGCTCTGCCCTGGTCCACAATCGCTGCCTCACTGGGTCCCCCAGCCGCAGCTTGCGTACTTAGGGATCACCACTGCGCTCTTGCACCCCGAATGGCTGTCGTGTCGATTTCGCGCCAAATTTTCCCCTACTTCCGCACGCCACCGACCCGCACCAGCCCCGCGCCTGCCCGGCTCATCGTCTCCTACCAGTCTGGATGTACAGGTCTACTTCAACTTCTTGACTGTTCGACTTCCATTCAGATAAATCCTCTATAAGTTCTGAGTGTTATTCTATCTTTAAATTATTGTTGTTCTATTCTTGGTTGTGTGAGGAGGTATGGTGCGTCCACCTATTCCTCCATCTTGCGGGAAGTTCCAGAAATGTTTTAAATTTACTCAAACCTTCTGTTTGGACATTTTTGAGATTTTCTCCTGTTTAGGTTTCATGAAGCCAACCAGTCTAGACCAGAGGCCTAAAGAGCAACCATTTGTATGATTCTTGTCTTGAAAATATAGGAAAAAGTGTCTAAAGAGTTATCTGGAGAATGTGAAGATGAAGATGTAGGAAATGAAAGAAAGAGAATCTTGGGACAGCCTCAGGAGTTGCTGAATTCCACAGTACTTATTAAGGAACTCACAAAGGTAACATTCACTGACAGCGTGAGTTGGCTCCATTCCTATAAGATCATGTCATTGGTGTCCAGGACTCACTGAAGTTCTCTGGGATCTATGTGTATTTTCTCAGTAATAGAAGAATTTTTGTGAAACTTTCTAAAGGTAGTTGTCCATAAGGGTCTGGGGTATTTATTATATTCGACCTACAAATATTACTTACTCTATTGATTTTTTAGATATATTTTAAGTATCCAGTCATCCTGGCTGTGAAAAATATCTCCGTTACAATTCAAAAGGGGGAATGCTTTGGATTGCTTGGTTTCAATGGAGCTGGAAAAACTACTACCCTCCAAATTTTAACTGGAGAAGAGATTGCTACTTCTGGTCATGTTTTCATTGATGGCTTTAGTATCACTGACAATATCCAAAAGGTAAGATACTGTTAATATCTGAGATATGAGAAGCATGATGATGTAAAGTACAGGTAACAGGCAGATTGTAGGAGAGAATAGATAGGAATTGTGGTAAGCATTGATATTGATACTGTTGATTAAGTAGATTCTGGAGAGAGAAATAAATTTTTAAAGGGAGATAGTGAAGCATCAAGAACAAAATATAAGACAAGAGTATCTTTGTGTTCTTTGAAACTGTTAGAGTAAAAGGTAAGTCCTCCCAAGAGTGCATCTTGGGAGGACTATAAGAATAAGGTACTGTAAGGAAGGAAAGACTGGCCAGAAGAAGAAGGTGACTTGAAACTGAGTTGCAACTGAAGCCTTGATCCATCTTAGAGCTCTGGAACAGAATGACCTGTGTGAGAAGTCCCAAATTGAAGCAAGATAGCTGTCCTTTGTATCCCTGCAAAGCCTGTCAGTCATTGGCTATACATGCTACCTAAAAGAGAAGGCATAACCTTGAAAGAAACTAAGTGGGGAGAAACATTCAAAAAGTAAATGGTCAAAAGTTTCAAATTCCAAGAAGTCTAGTGCAAGGTAAATCCTGAATAGTGTCCACTGACTTTTGTAACTAGAACTCATTGATGAAGCTCTCAATAACTGTGGCATTAGGGTTAGTTGGGTGGTGATAATGGAAGCCTGAATGGTTCAATTCTTTCCTCTTCAGTTCATTGAACACTGTCATCATAAAATCAGAAGATGGGGTTGGGGGAGCCTGCATGCTGTAGAATAAACAGTAGTTTGGTAACAGAAGTGAAGCTAAGAATTTGGATTATATTTTGAAGAAAGTTATCTGTGAAGCAAAGAGAAGAATTAGAATTTACTTGAAGTTATGAGAAAACAGGAATATTTTATACAATGAACAATTTGATCACTAGACAGGGAAAGGATGAAGATATAAAGACGTGATAGATGATGAAAGAAGATGAGTGGGTTCTTTCAAGTGGTTCTTGAGATGGAAGGGGTGAGTGGTGTCTCACTAAATGTCATTATTTATACCATTTATCTAATCCCCTTGGAGGACAATCCCCTTGGGACTGTTGTGTAGAATGACAAAAACAATTAAAGAAAGATTATGTCAAATAGAAAAAGCTAAATTGGGAACCAAAGAGTCCAGATAAGGTGTCAAATTTTAAAAAGACCTGCATGCAAGCAAATAGGAGCATTTTATAATAACTAATTCATAAATCTGAGGGAGTTTTTTCAGTCTTCAGGTACTCTCTCCAAGTTAGTTCTGAAATATTACAGATGGTGATCTCTTCATTTTTTCAGGCTTTAAAAATGTTTTTAACATTGTCTATTTTATTGTGGTATAAAATATGTGACATAAAATTTACCATTTGAAATATTTCTCAATGTGCAATTGATTGGTATTCAGGACATTTACATTATTGTGCAAACTTCACCACTATCCATCTCCAGAGCTTCTACATTATTTCAAAATGAAAATATGTACCTATTAGACAATAACTCTTCATCATCTTCCACAATCTGTTAACCACTATTATACATTCTGTTTCTATAAATTTGACTATTCTAGCTACCTTGTATCAGTAGAATCATATAATATTTGTTCTTTATGTCTAACTTATTTCACCTAGCATAATGCCTTTAAGGTTTACATATATGTGTATCCAAATTTATACCATTTTAAAGCTGAATACTATTCTTTTATATGTGTACACCACATTTTGCCCATTAAACCATCGATGGACATTGGGGTTTTCCACTTTTTGGCTATTGTGAATAATGCATTTCTGAACTTGAGTGTACAAATATTTGTTTGAGTCTCATTCAATAATTTTCTGTATAGTTCTAAAAGTGGAATTTTTAAAACCATAAGTTAATTTGTATAATTTTCTGAAGAAATACCATAATGTATTTTAAAGTGGCTACACCATTTTACATTTCCACCAGCAATTCTTAAGAGTTCCAATTTCTTCACATCATCACAAAACTTATTTTTTATTGATAAGACCCATCTGAGTGTGAAGTGGTATATCACTGTGGGAGTTTTTAATCTATTGGGGTGACATTGATTTATAAAATTTTGTAGGTTTCAGCTGTACAAGTGTACAATATATCATCTGTATATTGTATTGTGTGTTAACCCCCCAGAATCAAGTCTTCTAGCACCATTTATCCCTCCTTTACCCTCCTCTACCTCCCCTTCCACCCATTCCCTCTGCCAATGAGCATACTCCTATCTGTGTCCATGAGGCTTTCATTCTTGTTTACTTTGCTTAATCCCTTAACCCTTCTCACCCAGTACCCAAATTCCTCCCCTCTGACAGCTGTTAGCCTGTTCTCTTTGTCCATGAGTCTGTCTCCACTTTATTCATTAGTATATTTTGTTCATGACATTCCACATATAAGTGAAATCATAGTACTTGTCTTTCTCTGACTAGTTTATTTCACATAGCATAATACTTTTCAGGTCCATCCTGTCAAAATAGAAATATTTCCTTCAAATTTACAGCTGAGTGGTATTCCATTGTGTAAATCTACCAGTTATTTTTTTTTTATCCACTCATCTACTGGTGGGCACTTGGGCTGTTTCCAGATCTTGACTATTGTAAATAGAGCTACTATGAACATGTAGATGCATATATTCTTTTGAAATGATATTTTGGGATTTGTAGGATATATTCCCAAAAGTGGAATTGCTGGTTCAAAAGGCAGTTCATCTTTAACTTTTTTTAACTTTATGCCTTTGATAAATATTTTATTTTTTATTGTTGTTCAAGTACAGTTGTCTTCATTTTCATCCCACCACACCCCCATGCCCCACTCATCCTTACCTCTCACCCTCAAACCTATTCCCTTTGGCTTTGTCCATGTGTCCTTTATACATATTCCTTGATGGCCCTTCCTCTGTTATCCCTCTCCCCACTCCTCTCTGGTAACTGTCAGTTTGTTCTTAATTTCAGTGTCTCTGGTCCTATTTTCCTTGCTCATTTATTTTGTTCATTAGGTTCCACTTATAGGTGAGATCATATGGTATTTGTTGTTTACTGCCTGGTTTATTTCACTTAACATAATGCTCTCCATTTCCAGCCATGCAGTTGCAAAGGGTAGAAGATCCTCTTTTCTTCCTTTCTGCTGCATAGTATTCCATTGTGTAAATGTACCATAGTTTTTTATGCACTCTTGTGCTGATGGGCACTTTGGCTTTTTCCAGATCTCAGCTATTGTAAATAACACTGCTATAAACATACATAGGGGTGCATGTATTCTTTCAAATTAGCTCCTATCCTTCACAACAGCAAGGAAGGAACTGAAAAGCATTATGCTAAGTGCATTAAGCCAGGCAGTGAAAGAGAAATACCATATGATCTCACCTATAAATGGGACTTAATCAACAAAACAAATAAGCAAGCAAAATACAACGAGAGACATTTTTAACTTTTTGAGAGAACTCCATACTATATAGTTCACAGAGGCTGTACTAGTCTGCATTCCCCCCAATAGTGCAAGAGGATTCCCTTGTCTCCATATCCTCACAGGCACTTTTTGCTTGTTGACTTATTAATGATAGCTATTTTGGCAGGTGTGAGGTGATAACTCATTGTGGTTTTAATTTGCATCTCTCTGATAACTAGTGATATTGAGCATCTTTACATGTCTGTGTGGCCTCTGTATGTCCTCTTTGACTAATTGTCTATTTATGTCCTTTGTCAATGATTGTTTGTCTTCCTCATGTTGAGTTGTAAAAATTCTTTAAATATTTTGGAAATTAAGCCCTTATCAGATACATCATTGGCAAATATGATCTCCTGTACAGTGAATTCCCTTTTCATCTTGTTGATGGTTTCTTTTGCTGTGTATAAGCCTTTTAATTTGATGAAGTCCCATTTGTTTATATTTTCTTTATGTCCCTTGTCCTAGAAGATATATCAGCAAAAACATTCCTATGAGAGATAAATGAGATTTCACTCCCTAAGTTTTCTTATAGATTGTTATGGTTTTGTGACTTACAAACTATGTTTACTTAATCAACTTTACTTGATTAGTTTTCTTAATCAAGTTTGAGTTTACTTGATGATTTACTTTACTTGATTAGTTTTCTTAATCAAGTTTGAGTTTACTCTTATGCATCGTGTAAGTTGGTGGTCTAGATTCATATTTTCATATGTACCAACTTTCTCAACACCATTTATTTTTTAAATATGTTTTGTTGATTATGCTATTACAGTTGTCCCATTTTCTCACTTTAATTCCCCTCCACTCTGCATCCCTCCTCCCACTTGCATCACCGCCCTGATTTCATGTCCATGGGCCACACATATAAGTTCTTTGGCTTCTATATTTCTTATACTATTCTTAACCTCCTCTTGTCTATTTTCTACCTACCAACTATGCTTATACCCCATACTATTTCCCCCATTTTCCCTTGCCCTTCCCTGCTGGTAACCCTCCAAGTGATCTCTATTTCTGTCAATCAGTTACTGTTCCAGTTGTTTGCTTAGTTTGTTCTTGTTTTTGTTTTTTAAGTTTTGGTTGTTGATAGTTGTGAATTTGTTGTCATTTTACTGTTCATGTTTTTGATCTTCCTTTTCTTAGATGAGTCCCTTTAACATTTCTGTAATAATGGCTTGGTGATGATTAACTTCTTTAACTTGATCTTATCTGGGAAGTGCTTTAGCTGCCCTTCCATTCTAACTGATAGCTTTGCTGGATAGAGTAAGCTTGGATCTACATCCTTGCCTTTTATGACTTTGAACACTTCTTTGCAGCCCCTTCTTGCTTGTAAGGTTTGTTTTGAGAAATCAGCTGATAGTCTGATGGGAACTCCTTTGTGGGTAACTCTTTCCTTTTGCTGCTTTCTTAAAAAAAAATTTCTCCTTACCTCTAATCCTGGATAATGTAATTATGATATGTCTGGGTGGATGTTTCCTTGGGTCCAACTTTTTGGGTTTCTCTGAGCTTCCCGGACTTCTTGGAAGTCTATTTCCTTTACTAGATTGGGGAAGTTCTCC